TGCAATTGCTGTATTAAGACTGCTTTCTCTATTTTTTTTGTATTTGTATTGTAGTTAAATGTATAGATTTTGTAATACAGGTTGGTTACTTAAAGCTTTGTAAAAATAAATTCAGTAATTTTTGTTTCTTGTATACAAATAATATAAAATTATTGTTTATAATAATATTAAGACAGTATTGTAATTTAAAATTATTAATGCCTTGCATATTATAAATATATATTGTTAAGTTATTGATGTTAATAAGATTAGTTATAAATTGATTTGTTGAAGAGTTAGAGGTAAAAGTTAATGTTTAAACTGTTAGTATGTATAGTTATTGTTAAGTAAAGGTTTTCTAGTTTGGTTTTTAAAAAAATAATAGTACTAAAAGATTATTTAAATAATGTTAATAGTAAAATATTGTTATAATAGCTTTAGTACATTTTTAGTCTTTATTAAGTATTAGAATAGATATTTAAGTTTATTTATTTTTTTATAGTTTGATAGTTTTTAGTTTCTGTTAATAAGTTTAAAATTGCAGATTTGAATAAATTGATAGTTTTATCTAGAACTATATTTTGTATGTCTGTTTGTTTGGTATTTGCAAGTATATTAATTCAAGTATCTGGAATATAATAAAAGTAGTATGTTTGTCTTAGTGCTTTGGCTGTATTTATAAGTTTCTTGGTTGTGATTATTGAAGTTATAATATTAAAATTTTTGATTTTTTATAAATCTTCAAGTAGAATAGATTTATTTGTAGAATTTGTTATCATTATACTAAAAAATAGTAAAAGTAAAAATTTGTAAATTGGTATTAGTTTTCTGCTATTAAAAAGGTAAATGCATCAAATGTTCTAATTTTATTAGTATTTTTTAGAAGAAATGTCTTGGCTTTAATATAATTATTTAAAAGATTTTTAAATATAAATTCTTCTTTAAGAAATTGTATAATCTGCTACTAAGCTCTTTGTATACTAGTAGAAATAGTTTTTTGAAAGATAGTAAGTTGAAGTAAAAAGAAGATATGCTTTTACAAATATAGTAATCTTGCAGTTTTCTTTTATAGAATGTCAGGATTTTTAGTTGGTTTTATTTAGTAATTAAAAAAAAATATTTCACTGCAGAATGTAGATTTTCTATGTTTTTTAAAATTAAATTGAGTATAATAAAATATTTCTTTTAATATTTAGTCAAAATTATATATTTTGTATAGTCTTTTACAATGGCTTTCATTTGTGTTTTTTGTTTTATAAAAATACTAAAAAAAGTATTTGTAAAATTTTATCAGATATTTTATTTGTATTAGCTAAAGTAAATTTAATTGTTTTAAAAAAGCAGTTTGTATTACCTTTTATATATCTTAAAAGTTAATTAGAGTTTTATCTTTAGTAAAGTTTTTGTAGTATTTATTTAAATAGTATATTATTCTAAATATGCTTGTTGTAAAGTTAGTATTAGTAAGATAATTGATTATAAGTTTTTGTCTAAGTTTTATATTTATAGTGTTTTTGATTGTTCTGGCTATTATTATAATTTTATATGTTGCTTTATAGTTTTTTATTGCTGTTTTAAATAAATTTTTTTAGATAACCTAGTGCTAAAATATAAAGTATTTGTTTTTTGTAAAAGTAAATAAAAAAGCTAAATCTTGATATTTGAATTTGGTTTTAATTGCTAGATGAAATAGAAAGTAAGTAGGTTTGGTTAATAGCTTGTGTTTTACAAAGTTATAAATTTTTTTTTTAATTTTTAGTTAGCAATAATTGTATTATAGTTCTATAAATTCTTATTGAAGAGTTATATGATTTTTCTTGCAAATTGTTGTATATGCTGTTTACTTATTTCTAAATATAATCTAGCTTTATGCTGTCTTGTATTGTGTTTTGTATAAGAAAATTTTATTATTATTTAGCTATTACTAAGAGGTTTTTGTTTATTATAGGTATTAACTACTATAGTAACAGATTTGATATTTATATTTTAGTTATCTAGGTTTGTTTGTTCTTTATTGGTAGGATTGCTTTATTGAGTATCTGTAAGATCTAGGCTATTTGGTGTTAGTTTTGTCAAAGATATATATTTAACTTTGTTACTACTGCTTATAATAATATGTGTATGATCATTGTAAAAAATAATGATATGACTGTTGCTAGTATTTATAATTTTTGTTAAAATGTTATTAGAACTAGTTTGTGCTAATTTATTGTTTTTGTTATTTGTATATAATAATATTATAGTAAAATTTGTCAAAGATGAGCTGGATTGCTTATTGTTTTTGTTGTTTTGAAGTTTAAAAAGAAAAGTGTATCTTTTCTTAGATGGTAAGTCTAAATATATAAAAATTTATTTGTTATTAGTTTTTTTTTGAAATATAATATTGTTAGTATTTGTAGTTTGTTTTTTTTATTTATAACTGTTATGTAATCTCAAAAGAGAACTAGATCTTAATTCAAATACAATTGCTAACAAATGTACTATCTTTATTTATACTAACCTGGCTACTAAACTACTCTGTTATATTAATTCTAACAAAACTCTCAACCTTTATACAAACTTTCTTGATATTGTATCTTTTGTTGCTTTTTGACATCCTTTATATTTTTTACCTCCTTCTTCATTCACAATTAATCTATAACAACTACATCTTATTTTGAATTATATTAATTTTTTAATAATCTTTAAACTATTGCTAACTCAAATCATAATTTATTATCTATTTTATTTTATACTAATGGTTTTGTTATTAAGCTTAATACTTCTTAATAATTTATAGATATAAGTTGAGTTCAAGTTAATAAATTTACAACTATTAAATTATTTTAGACATAAGTTAAGCTTAAGCTATGCTTATTTAAAGCTGAAATTCTTAGTATTCTTTTAGCAATTATTACTGCTTCTAAACACTGCTCTGTTTATATATTTACTGACTTACAATCAGTAATTTTCAAATATCATAACATTTGCCAATTAGCATTTACTCTTTCTCATATTCATACTTTATATTTTTTTATTTGATAAACTTTTATTAGTTTTATCAACTCTTATAATATTCAGCTTACTCTTCATATACTAAAATAACATATTTAATAATCTTGCTAACCAATTTGCCTGTAAATACCAAATATTATCTTATTTAATATTCTTAACTAATAATCTTTATAACCTTAACTATACTTCTTTTATTGATAACTTTCTTATTAAAATTTCTATTTGATGTTCTATTTGAACTATATGCCAAGCTTATATTATAATACTTTAGATATTTCAACACTGTTTTTAATAATAATCTACTATTGCATTTGATATCAACTAAAAAACTACATGACTTTATATTAACAACAATCCAAAAATCTCTAATTTTGCTTATAACTTTTATTTATTTACTCTAAAAACCTTCTAAATTAAAATCTTTACAGATGAACTTTCTGTTTTTTATACTTTTCATAAATGTAACTTTTTTTTTTCTTTTATCATCAATGTAACCAAATTAGTTCTTTACTTCATTGGACTATTTGGCTCTTAACTCAAACAATTTATCACTTAATTTCTAATTCTCTTAATAGTATTTTAAATATAACTACTCTTGATATGTCTGCCAATCTTGTATCTGATTTACATACTAAAATTCTTATACTTAACAGTTTTAAACTACACAACTTTTTATATATACTTTTCTTATTTCTATCTTATCTGATTTAGTTCCTACTAATCTTATTTCTACTATTTATAATATTTTCATTTTTTATTATACTGTTATTATTCTTTTTATTAAACTTCTTCTTCATTCAAAATAATAAATATACAAACTAATATAAATTCTATACTATATTTTACATTTTGCACAGTCTTAAATCACACTTTTTACTAACTTAATCTATAGTTCTTCTTTTAGTTTATTTTTATTTTTTATTTCAATGCTATTACTTATTATTAAAATTAATTTTTAAACTATTCAATGAATTAAATATCATACTTCACTCTTTTATATTATTACTTAATCTCAAATCTAGATGAGCCTTGGCTACTTTTGTAGGTTTAGGTTACAGATTATATGTCTAAGTCTTTATTCTTTATATGCAATTTAAAAGCAAGCTTTTCTTTGTAAAAACTTCAATTAAATTTCAATAAAGTTAAAAACATGACCTCCCTATTAATATTTAAAAAAAAAGAATTGAAATATAATCTTGCTGTTCTATATTTGTTTTCTTTGTTTACAATAGTGTTATAAGTTTTGGTATTTTTCTTTTAGTTTTGTTTTATATTTATATTTTATTATTTGCTATTTGTATCTTGTATAATTAAAGACCAAAAAAAAAAAGTTAAAATCTATATTTAGTTATTGTATATAAGTTTTTACATATATTTTTGTCAGTTATTTTGTTTACTTAGTATTTTTGTAATTTACAGATAAAAACAACTTTTTATATACAAAAAAATTATATTTACAACAAAATTGATATTTTCTTACTATTACATCAAGTTTTATACTGTTCTAATATAAAACATCACAGATTTAGCATTTATATCAAAGATACAAGACTTTTATATTTTACAAAGCAAAAGTAATTTATGTATTCACTTAGATTTTGCAAATGCAAATTGTTTGATTCTTCAATGTTTCAGATTTACAATAGGCTAGAATTTAAAACTATATTAACTTTGTTATAAAGAATAAAATCTTTATAATAAAAAAAAAGTTTATTTATTTTATTTTGTTATTAATCTAAAAAAAAATATTTTTAACGAATAATATAATTGTTTTTATAAAGTTTTTTTTAGATAAATCAACGTTAAAGAAAATATAGATTAGATTTTGTAACTTAACCAAATTATTGCAATTTTTTTGTACTTATTTGTTTTAATTAATAATTATAATAAAATTTAAATTACTGTACAGGTTTTAATATTTGATAAAACCATTGAGTTTTTTTAATAGGTTATAGACAATTAAAAAAGATGTATAGTACTTTTTAAAGATTTTAATAACAGACCAAAACCTTTTTATAAAATGCATTATGACTTATACAAACCACTTAATTTGCTTAAACTATATTAGTCAAAAAAAATTTAAAAACTTTAAAGATAAACTTGGTAAAAATATCTTATATTAATTAATTCGTTAATTTTTGAGACATAGCGAAGCTTCTATTTTACCATAGCTAGCACAAATGTAAAACGTGGAATGGCTATCACACATAATTATAACTTTTCAATTTTTTGACACCGAATAATAATAAATAATCATGCAATTATTACTATTATTATCAAATTTTATAAAGTTTGTCCATTTTCCCATCTTTAAGATTCCATTTCCGTTATTGAGTTCAAAACCATTTAAATGAATTCAGAATAACCATAATATTATATGATACAGCATAGCAATTTATAATATAAGAGGAAAAAAAATAAAAATAATTATAAGCAAACACATGAACTAATACGTAATAATTTGAGCTTATGAAATCTTTTTATGAATTTGAAATACTTCATATTCTTCGACAGAAAATTCCGAGATATTGTTATCAAGAGTATTTCTAATTCGTCGTTCATATCTAATATCATTTGGATTATGGTAATAATAGCATTTACCATCATGATCATAATTGTTTAACATATATATACCAGAGTAAAAACAAGGACCAGTATTAGCATCACAATAAATAGAATAAATTTCGGTTTGCGAAATTTTTACCCGACTTAAAATAGAATTTTGAATTGTACCATTTTTCAAAGAAAAGATAAAACTTTTCTTACATCGTAATAAACCGACAGATTTATCCCAGCCAATAGGATTATAACCACCCAAAATTTCATCAGTTCTTTTAACTTTCATAACTACAATAACATTAGTTTTCTTATTACATAGATTCCAAAAAGTAGCAGTAGTAAAACCATCTCTGGATCCACGAAGAAGTAATTTAAAATCATAAGGATTATTTGATACGGAATAAGGAACGACATCATTATTATCAATCCAAGAAGCGATTTCAGCAGCATGAGTATCAGTAATAACAGTTGAAAAATAACTTCTGGATAATAATGAAATATTAATAGGATGAATTATTGAAGAAGAATGATTGACAGGAGTAACAAGTCTTTTCAAAGTATCTTCCCAAATGGTTTCTTCAAGGATCTTTTGATAAGGTTGTACGTTATAAATAATATTAGCACCGGAGATTTGAAAATGACTAATAAGAAGTAAACAATTTTGTATAGTAGTCTTCATGGTTAAAAAATTTTCGTGAGACCAATTTTCAGGATTTGAAGGCAATTTGGGATTTTGCGCAATTCCCCATTTAATAAGACAATCCCAAACATTATATTCATCTATTTGTAACAAATCACATCCAATTAGAAAGGCTAAAATATTTTCACGAATAGAGGAGAAATCTTCCGAGCCAAAATCAATATTTTGATACTTTGATGCAATATTATTACACCACTTTAACAGTTCTTGAAACTTGTTATTTTGAAAGCAAGTTTTATAAACACGAGTAAAATTTGAAAGAAGCCAGGAAGTCTTATTTACAATCAAATGGATTTCAAGACGCTTGGCCAATTCTTCGAAAAGAAGCTCATAGGCAATAAGCATGAGTTCAAAAATGAAAGTAGCATCAAAATCCTTCAATAAAACCACACCACCATAGATATACCTTTATACAATTTAGCATTGTCATTATTTATAAATAGAAATAGTGTTAAAATTATATGTATACAGATAAATAATCTACTTACTTTATAATAATTTCAAATTGTTGTATAGAGACATGATTTAAGTTAATAATCGTTATATTATTTTCATTCTTACATGAATTAGCCAATTCATTACGAAAATACAAAGATCGAGATTTCAAAATTGGGGAATGTGCTTTGAATATTTTAGAGTTAAGAGATTTTCCAACATTAATAATAGTATTAAAGTCATCATTATCATCAAGAAGTTCAAGATAATTTTCTGAAAGTTTTTCAAAAAAATTTAAAGACATTATTAGATTAAATGAAGCAACCAAATTGAAAATTCTTGTCGATAAGATATTCTTACATGCGTAAATGGGTCCAAGTAAAGTGCAAATCATATGAATATATAAAACAATAAAGTTATCGATTTATTTACAAATAAAACGGATTAACGCCTTACTTTGGAAACTACTGTAACTATATGCAAGATGCACGGCTTTATGTTGCATTGCTACACGAATATTATCACGCCTGGAAAAAGTATTCATAATTTTATACTTGTACTCTGACATCTTTTTTTCAACAGATTATCTCTACGTACTTATTTTAACGGTATTAATAAATAAGTTCTTTCTTCAAAGAAATAAATTACACATCCTTAAAAATATATTATAAGCGTCCATCTGCGTACTATTCAAGTACGTCCGTGTACGTTATTTTAGAATAAAAAATCGGTTTTTTGAATTTAAATGTATGTGCTCTTAGCGCTACGTAGGGAGATCAAATCGATTATCAAACAACCAAATAAGGATATTTAAGATGTACGTTATTGTAAAACCCATGGGCATCATTATTATGCATTATTATTATGTGTCGGTATACTTTTTAATAAGTACGTAGTTTAAAAGGACCAGGTCCCGAAACTGCTTAAAAATTTATTTGGCTTCGAAATTTAAATTCCCAAATGAAGAAAAGACCTGAGCAGTTTATTGTTTTTTTTTCAATTTAGGAAGTTCAGTTTTTTATACTATACTGTATACAGCGATATTAGTATTATTGTGCACCTAAGGCTAAACTATAATATATTTTGTACACATGCACGTGTGCGTACAAACTAAATTTGAACTTAAAGTTTGAAGAAGCAACTTTATGTAATGTTTGTTCAAACTTAGTTGCGAACTGCAGAACTGGTTCAAACTCGGACTTCAACGGAGAACTTTAACATCCCTATAGAAAGTCGAATGCAACTTTCACGAGATATTATTTTAAATGGTTTAGATTTGATTTTGAACTGGTTACAAACTTGACTTCTATAAATAAAACACACATGACCGAATAAGATTTTCAGTATCCCTACTATATTGCGAAATAACGCCCGGGGCGTTATCTGGGTCATGCAATTTGAAGAGATCTCAATTAATTTTAACCAAAGGATTTTTAAAAAGTAAATTTATGGATCGAATTTGGTTAAATTAATTATTAGCTCTATTAAATTGCATGCCTAGAAGCAACGCCCCGGGCGTTATTCCGCGCAAATATAGTAATTTTTGAAGGTTGTGTAACATAAACTTCTGGATATTGAACAACGGACTTCCGTATCCCCACAATAATAGTCTAATACAATATCTCGTACACCATGCATAATCAGGAGATCCACCAAAATGTCTCGTTAGCTTAATGCTAGTTTCAATGTCACCTTACTGAAAACTGTTTTTTAAAAAAAAAATCCATTAAAATATCTTAAGAATCTACAATTACATGCGTTGTGAAAAACATTTGAATCAATTATGTATGGCTCTATTACAAGGGATTATATTACTTTTCTAATCTTAAATTGGTTTACTATATTGTATGATAAATAATTTTGCATCTATAAATGTTTATTTCAATAATTTCGATGTTTCGTTATCGGTGTCCTTTCTGAATGATTTTGTACTTATTGTAAATTAAATAATAATACTATGGGTTCGAATTCAGTAATGTGCATAGTAATACACATCATTCTAGTTATATCGACACTCTCCAAAAACAAAGAAATTGTCCTATGTATTCAAATGTCGGTTTGACCGGAGGCATTTTCATATTAAATATGTAGATTTAAAAGTTTTAAAAATATCGGTTTGACGAAACTATGTTTGCAATGGCGAAATGGCTTCGTAAATTATTTCGTCTGACGAAATTTTGGCGATTAACAAAATTACGAAACTTTCGACGAAATTAATTTAGCCAATAAAATATAAAAATACGGTTGCTCTTTTTTCAAAAAGCTTCTTTATAACGAACTCTGACTCTTAAATATTTATTATTTAATAATAAAGTTCATCGGTGCGTATGAAAACAGAAATTTTTTTATTGGCAACGAACATCTAAATCGTCAAAAAAAGAGGTTCGAACCGATTTTAAAAACCGGTCCCAACCTCTGATCTATCGGATACATCCGGGTGATGCAAATCTTCAGGTAATAAATTTGTCAAAAAAATAGAACTGGGTAGATAATGATTTAATTTCACATGGACCAATTTATTTCTATTTGATTTAATTTCATATGGACCAATTTATTTCTATTATGAAGGAATAAAATGCCAGTTTTTTGCTTCATCAACCATCATAATGAATTAATTTCATATGGACTAATTTATTTCTATTATGAAAGAATAGAATAATAGTTTTTTGCTTCATCAAATATCATAAATTTCATCATCGTTGCGAAATTTATTATTCGTCAGGCATTAAAATATGAGTGCGGAAGAGTGAAACCCTGGAAATAAAATTTAATCCCTAAAAAATTGATCGATTTTTTATAATTTTAGAATGTACAATAAAGTTTTTTTAAAAAATTGCGATAACCTTAACTCTTTCTAATCTGACCCTAACGAAAATGCCCAGAATTACTTTGAAATAACTGCCGGTGAAGTGAATGTCAGCGAAATGAGCCCATCCGATATTTCATATTCATTTACCGAAAATAAGATGCATAATCATCTTCATGTGTATATGAAAATAGATAAGTATAACGTTGACGATTTTGATTATAAATTTACAAAGAATTGCTTTTTCTGAACTTAAAATATAATTTTGAACGGGTCAGTGAAAAAAATAAAGATATCTTGACAATTCTTATAATAATCAAGTAATTTTTCAACTTGGTTATCCCTTCCAATATGATTATATCCACCAAAAAATTCATCAGTACCTTTAGTCTTCATAACTACTAAATAGGTGGTTTTTCTTATTACATAAATTCCCAAAATGAATCAGCGTTAAAATTATCTCTAGTTTCACGAACAAGTAACTTAAATTCGTATGGATTATTTGTTGCAGAATATGCATTGGCTTTTTTATCAGCGATTTCTGCTGCAAATGCTTCATTAATAACTGTTGAAAATGGTTCAGTGACTATATTCGGTTAAAATTACATGGGGTGGAAGGATTTTTGAAGATATCAATTGATTTGATGTCATAAATTTTTTCATATCTTTCCAAAAAAATTTTTTAAATATTTGCTGATATGGTTGCACTATTAAAAATATCATCACTTGATGTTTGAAAATAACGGATAAGGGGTAAACTATTATAACAGCAAGAAAGTTTTCATCGGACCAGTCCTTGGGATCTGATGGCCTTCCATAGTTTTGAGAAATTCTCCATTCAATAACACGGTGCCAAATTTCTACATCTTTTATTTGTAAAGCATCCCGACTAATAAATGAGACTAATGCATTTCTTGAAGACTTCCGAATTAAAATCTTATTAGGACAATACCATTGCACCATTTTTGCAATGGTAAAGCTTAATATTCTGAAACTTTTTGATAAATATGTAGACGAAGCCAATGGGTTTCTGCTTCAATTAAATGAGTTTCAAGATGTTTGGCTAATTCTTAAAAAAAAAAAAGATAAGCAATAAGCATAAGTTCAAAAATAAATGATGCTTTATTATTTTCAAGTAATACTACTCCTCTATAAATATATCTTCATATAAGGTTTATTGGATCACTTACAGTATAGGTGACACTATTAATAAATGTATTATTTATCAATTGATTTAGAATAGGTGTCATCTATGTTGCAAGGGATCCGGTTTATTATGTTAATTTTCTGCCAGCGACATATTATAGGCCAACTTGATTCAGTGATTTGTACGGGAATTATGAAAAATTACAAACTTTATAGCTAAATGCAATAATTTTATTCTTGACAAAGTCTGTCATGTATTTGATTTTCTTTTAAGATGTCGAGTTATGATAATGAAAGGTAAGGTTAACGAAGTTACATTTAAACTACAATAAATTGATTACTACGATAAAAATATTTATTTAATGAATTTATTAGCATGAAATTTTTAGAGTTTCTTGCTAATTTGAAATATCTCATATTCATCTACCGAAAAATATGATATATTGCCTTCGTATGTAGATGCATCTCTAATTCGGTTTTCATACGAATGTTGATAACTCCAACATTTACGATCTTGATTAGAATTATTCGACATAGCTAAATCACTTCCACCACCAAAAATTGGACCACGATTTGCATTATTACAAATTGAATATTCCGGTCGGTTTACTCGACTTAAAATAGAATTTTGAATTGTACTGTTTTTCAATGAAAAAATAAAGCTATCATTGCAATTCTTATAAAACCACTTGCTATCTGGTTTATTCCATCCAATAGGATTATATCCACCAAGAATTTCATTAGTACCCTTAACCTTCATAACTACAACAAGATGTGTTTGCTTATCACATAAATTCCAAAATGATTCAGCAGTAAAACCATCTCTAGTTCCGCGAAGAATTGATTTAAATTCATATGGATTATTTGTAGCAGAATATACATCAGCTTTTTTGTCAATCCATGAAGCAATTTCTGCTGTATGTTCTTCATTAATAACTGTCGAAAATGGTTCGGTATTTCTAATCGGTAATGTTGACTTCAAAATTACACGAGGCGGGAGGATCATTGATGATACTTGTCGATTTGGTGACATAAGCTTGTTTGTTATATCTTTCCAAAGTTTCTTATCTAGAATTTTTTGATATGGTTGTACATAATCAACAATGTCATCGCCAGACATATGAAAATAACGGATAAGAGGCAAACAATTTTGTAAAGTGGTCTTTAAAGTTAGAAAATTTTCTTTGGTCCAGTCTTCAGGATCTGATGATAAACTAGGGTTTTGAGCAATTCCCCATTTAATAACATGATTCCAAATTTTTACTTCTTTCATTTGTAAATCATCTCGACTAATAAGCGATACTAACGCATTTTCTTGAAGCGAAATGAAATCTTCTGATTCAAAAATCTTATCAGGATATTTTACCACAATATCATTGCACCATCTCTGTAATTCTTGAAGTTTATTATTCTGGAAACTTTTTTGATAAACATAAGTAAATTTTAAACGAAGCCAATGAGCTTCCTTTTCAATCAAATGAGTTTCAAGGTGTTTAGCTAATTCATCAAAAAGAAATTCATAAGCAATAAGCATAAGCTCAAAAATAAATGATGCTTTATGGTTTTCAAGTAAGAATACTCCTCCGTAGATATATCTTTGTTTAAAATTAAATTAGATTTAAAAATGATATAAATTATTATTATGTGTATAAAATAATTTACCTAATAATAATTTCAAATTGTTGTATAGAAACATTTTTCAAATCAAAGGTTTTAATATTGTTCTTATCTTTATTAATATTTGCCAACTCATTACGAAAATATAAAGATCTATATCTTAAAATTGCCGAGTGTGCTTGGAACATTTTGGTGTTTGGGGATTCACCAACATTAATGATAATGTTAAAATCTTCTTTATCGTCAAGTAGGTTAAGATAATTATTTGAAAGATTTTCAAAAAATTTTACTGCCATCTTAATTAATGTTTGTAAGAAAAGCTCTGCGAATTAATGATGTACACCAGGATCTCAGAGTAACGATGTGTATTGTTCGTAAACGTGTTAGTGAGGTAAGAAGTTAGGTAACAGTTACGACATATTATAGCAAAGTTGTAGGTCATAATTCTAATATATATATATATATTATGTAGTATAATAGACTATGTGCAAACATAAATGGAGTCTTTTGCCTTTTCTGATAGGAATAATTCGTACAAAACAAACTCCAATACTGATTCATGTAAATCACCCTTTATCTTTATTGATTCAATAGTCCATTTAATAAATTATTGGATTAATAAAAGTAAAAGATGACATATCTATCAAAATGAGTAGTTAAGTTTATTTTTTTCCCGAATTATCGCAAAGACTAATTATTTATCATAGTTATTATACTGTAGTTGATTTTGATATAGTTACAATTATACTATTTTTGATCCTAGTTATTATAAAGCATATCATTATATTTACAATTTTGTGTAATTATCCGATATAATTATATGTTTTGTTAAATTTAAAGGTCTGCAACCCGAGCTCATGCCTGTGCCCAACAAAAAAATTTAATTATAGGCATTGACATGAAAGCTCAGGTATGAGCTTGGTGGGGCACTAGCACGAGCACAGGCACGGATAGTAATGTCAGTATTAAATTGGTCAATTTTTATATAATAACCAATCTAATACCAGGCACTCAATATTCGTATCTATAATTAGGGTAACTACGCAAAGTGGTCGTGCTTAAACTGGGAACATAGTATAATCGATATACTTGTATTAAGGATCCAAGTGAAGTGACGAACTTTCTAATAATTCTAAAAATATTACTAATTGTCTAATGCAACCTATTCCAAAGTATTGTTCACCTTGTCAATTGATTTAATAAACTGCCCCGAAATAAACTAAATATAAAATGAATTTACATAGATCTTGAGTAAGATTAAGACTAAAATTCGAAACAAATTACGAATATTTTGAGTTCTTGATAGTATCAAAATGGTACAGAAATATTATATTATTTTTGCAAATTTGCTTAAAGTAGGAATGGTAAATGCTTAAATCATTTAAATGAAGAATATATAGTAAATGAAGTGTAAAGAGAAAGCTCTTATCACAGGTAGAACAATAAACCTTTTTTATAAGTATTCTTTCAAAAGTCTTTGGTATGAACTGCAACTTTTTCCGTATTTTCTAAAGTTCTTTTCACAACTCTTACATGTAATTTAAAAGGTTAGAAAATGTTTGAAAGATATTTGAAAAGTTTGCATGTCATATCAAAGATATTTGAAAGAATACTTGTCGAAAAGGTTTATTGTTCTACATATGTATAGAATTAAATAATTCTGAAAATATACTAAAAGTTCATAAATGTCGAATTCTACAGTAGACATAATAATATTTGAAACTTGTGAGTTTAACGGATTTACGTGTTCTTACAAGAGAAATGACTTAAAACCATTGAATCAAATACTAAAAAAATAAACCATCTTTCAAGGGTATGGAATGTATTATCACTTATAAGTATCTTTCTTTCAATTACGTATTTTGTATTGCTGATTATCGCTTAGACGCACTCATTACGGTAGATAAAATAGAAGCTGTGTCACATAAACCTGGTAAAGAATAAGCGTAGGATAGCAAGAAACGCTCTCAGCAAAGAAGATTCAAGATTTTACTAGCGGTTTAGATATTCCGCTTCACTACGTTCCTGGCATGCCAATTTACAAAATTTGGTATTTTTTTTTGTAATAATTATTTACAATAAGAATTAACTGTCAAAAATTTCAATCCTTTATCGTTACGACATATCTATATTACATTAAACCTCTCTAAATGCGCTAATTTTCTAATAATTTTAAGGGTATAGGTTAACTTTTGTTTTTTGTTTATAAGCTTATAAAATTATACATTTTATTTGTTAAGGATTCTTGCACTGGAATTTTTATAAAGCTTGCAATAAACGTAAATACAGTATAACTTTGTTTTTGATTCTGGATTGATTTAAACAAATCTTTCTCTTTTTCCTTATTTATTAGTGGAGCGGTTTTACTGAACATACAAAAATATCTTTTAATACTTTAAATTTTAACTTCATTGATATTTATTACATTTTATACTTATTAGGTTACATAATTTACAGTTATTTATATTCGTACTATGTACAATTTATTGATTTATATAAATACTTGGATTATTAGACTCTACAGTAAACTCAATATCACAGTAGAAAATATCCAATCTTTTCAGAGTATCGTTCTTACTAAGTGCATATGCTAATGCATTCCCTCCTCCAAATCCGAGATTGTTGAAACTAAGATCCAAAGAAATTAATGATGTATTTTTACAAAGTGCATCAGCTAATGCTTTTCCAACATCTGGTCCAAGTTTATTAATAAAATTTAATCTATCTCCACCAAGTTTCAAATCTTTCAGCGTAGTGTTCTCGCAAAGAGCATCAGCTAATGCCTTTCCACCTTCTGAACCAAGATAATTGCAACTAAGATCTAGTGAAGCCAGCGTGGTATTCTTGTAAAGTGCATCTGCTATTGCTTTTACACCGTTTGGACCAAGTTTATTATTATACGAACACCATCTACTTCCACCAAGTTTCAAAACTTTCAGAGTAGTGTTCTTGCAAAGTGCAACTGCTAATGCTTTTCCGACATCTGGTCCAAGATCATTATTACCAAGATTCAAAGAAGTCAATGTGGTGTTTTTGCAAAGTGCGTCTGCTAACGCTTTTCCTCCTCCGTCACCAAGTTTATTGTATTCAATATCCAAAGAAGTCAGAGTAGTGTTCTTGTAAAGTGCAACAGCTAATTCTTTTCCGACATCTGGTCCAAGATTATTATTACCAAGATCCAAACAAGTCAGCCTAGTGTTCTTACAAAGTGCATTAGCTAATACTTTTCCACCTTCCGATGCAAGATTATTGCCCAGAAGACTTAAGAAAGTCAGCGTGGTGTTCTTAGAAAGTGCATCGGCTAATACATTTCTTTCTTCTGGTCCAAGATAATAATATTGAAGATTCAAAGAAGACAACGTAGTATTCTTGTAAAGTGTACACTCTAATGTTTTTTTATTAATAGTATTATTGAGTGTTAAATGGTTAAGATTTAAATGTTTAAGATTTTTACTTGCTCTAAGAAACATAGTAACTAAGGTGAATTTGACAGTATTTGCAAGTTCATCCTTATCTTTTTCAAAACTATATCCATCATTTTTAAGTAAATTTTTGACACCGGTAGCCAAATAAGAACCAACAGATGTAGTATAGCTTTCGTATTCAAATAATGGTTTTGGATAATTTGGAAGAATAATTTTAAAGGGGATCAATAGAGCTTGTTCTTCAGTATTTAACGCTGAAAGAAATATTCTTATAAGTCTTTTATCACTAAAATAATTTGTAGGTTCACTCCATAATATTGGCACAATAAGTCTACACCATCGACGGTTTACAAGAAGGCACGAAAATAAGGTTTTATAATTAGTTTGGAAATTATCAAATATTTTAATAAGGCATTCGTTCGGTAACAATATCATTTTGGAAGAATTACGAGTTGTTCGAGAATTATTAAATATTTTATTAAAGAATTCGTTTACTATCGTCATCATTTTAAAATAACTATGATTAAGTTCAAACATTTTTAAGTATCGTTATAAATTTTGAGAGAACTACGAATTTTATAACGGTAAAAATCTAGATTTGCATCGCACAAATTAAACATACAGCACTGTATTCCCAAATTGTTGCCAAGTCTAACCTTATTTGGTATCCTATCGATCACAGATTACACCAAAGGAGGTCAATCAGAAATCAATATGGTTACTATTGATGTCATATTGATAGAGGTTAATATAAAAGCGTTAGGTTTGTTTATTTAAAATAATTCTGATTAAGTCGAATTGACATCTTTTTGCTGTCAAAACTTTAATTAGTGTTCCAAATCTGAATTTATTCGGATATTTGTTTTATATCCATTTATCATTGATATCCAAATAATTATTCGGATGCTGAGTGATTTTTAATTATCCAGATATTATAATCAGAAACGGGTAAATGGATGACATATTAGTAATAATAATATCCTGATCCGTTGGAAATTAGCGGAAACGAAGTTTCCGCTTATTCACATACGGCGGAGTATTATTAATTAATCCACCCGTGAGCTTGATATAGCGAACGGGGATTATCCTAATTTTAACAAATTTCTGGGCATATCACTATCGTTATAATAGATTTAATGAACGCGCCTATTTTAGGAATTTGTGTTAACCACGCAAATAACGTACGTACATAAAACTGGAAAACAAGAGACCTTGAGAATTCAAGTCATTCATTGCTTTTTTTTTTTTTTTTTTTACTACTTATTGCAGATCACACAATGAGTCTTCCTTTCTTCGTGCTAGTAGCGATGGTAAAAAAAATACGTTTAACATTTTTTCACTGATTTAAAAACAGGCGATGATTAAATATAGTTAATATCATGATCATCACCTGTTTTTAATCATCCAATAAAAACTTTTGCATCATGTCCTAGACATTTATTGTCGGCCGAATTTGGATGATCGCGAAATTAAAAATGCATCTGTTATCGTTATGGTTAGGGTGAGATTTTTGAACTTAAAATTTGAAAAGTAGTTTCAACATAAAATGGATAGATTATATTTAATAAAGATTTTATTTTATTCCAAGTTTTAATTGAATTTCAGCAATTTAGATTAATATTTAGCATTCGATCGAAAATTTCGATTGCGAAAAATATAGGAAGTTAATTGAAATCGAAATCGAAATGATTACACAAAAATGGTTAGGTCTGACTGGTTTAACATCCCTAAACATATCTCATACTACATATAAATATAGGGCAATATCGAAATTTTAAATGCAGAATTTCAAGTTTTACTGATGGTAGTCCGTCAATTAATATCGGTATAACCACATAACAGAAAACCAAGCCACATTTTCCCCAATGTTCAAAATGATAATTGGATAAGGGACACAAGCTACGAAAGTAAAAAGACAAGGGATACCTAATACCTTATGCGATACATATAGTGAAGTTTAAGCGCAGAAATTCACGATTTTACTACGTTTAACCAATTATCCAATCAGTTACAAGATTTTGCGGACGTACACCATTAAAAATGTCGTAACGATAGTAACCTCCATAAGTACACCATCTATAAGTGCAGACAGACCTTCTCTAGATTCGCACTTAAATTCGGGCTCAATTAAATATATCCATGACCTCTATAAATGCACCTTTTCTTATTGTTCTCTAAGTGTACGTCGTTAAAGTTCGGTCCCAAGAGCGAGGTTTTACTTTACTTCGTAATATTACTTATTGCACGGGTCTTATGTAACAACCCGTGCTTTTTTCATTTACTTATTGGCACGGGATTGTACGTCAGACACCGTGCAATAAAATAGTTATTATACGGGTTATAAAATAACTAAATTTGCACGGAGTTACATGGCCTTCAGCCATGTAACGTCAACCCGTGCAAATTTAGTTATTTTTTACAACCCATACAATAACTATAACATATCCCTCCGTTCCTGGTATACATGTTTCTATCATTACATATTTTATCAAGTTGTTACATTTTGCAAACAGTTGCAAAATTGCAATAAACTCTCTGTGGCTGCTCCATCATACAATTCATTAAGTCATAAAGAAAGTAATCAATGATAAGTCAGGAGATTGTTATTTCCAATTTTTGTTTTAAACGTTTACTTGTTACGCGTCATTCTTCAATTTATGTGCCATTCATAGATTAGAAATATATGTCGCTTTGCAATTAAACTTATGCTTAAATACAAAGATGTAAAATACATCTATTTCGAATTTCATTTTGATCATTTGCATCGTAAACTTCAACAATATGTGAATTGACCGTTTTCATGAATATTATGAATTAAATATTCTTAGATATTTCTCTTGGTGCTCGTTTACACTGCAGATCCGATTTTTAATATACAATGGTTGTGTGTTGTTGTGGGAGGAATCAAAGTTTAATCAAAGTTCAATAAAAAATTCTAAAGTAATGATAAATGAATTGTAAGAAAAAGAGAAAGTGTTAGCAAATAGAGATAAAATGCTTATGTCAATAAGAAAAAAGGTGACTAAGTCATGTTTGAAATTTCTTTTTTCACTTGTAATTCATTATAAATATGGTTCACGTTCCTCTCTTGTAAAATAACAGAAAACATCAAATTACTCTTAAGCAAAATACTGAATCACCATTAGATTATGAACTCATCCTAAATAAATAAAACAAAGATTATAATTAATAAGAGTTCTAATTTGTTAAAATAAAAAATAAATAATACAATATACTTCTTAACCTGTTTTACATTAACATACAAATTCTCTTGTAACACACTCAAAAGCTGCCTTTGACCCATGCCAAATCGAAACTGCCTCACCTGCTTTTGAGTGACATTACACAACATTAACATTTCCGAAGTGACAATTCATCACATTCCTTCTTGTCCTAGTGGCGCCGTTCCAAACCTGTTAGCCCATATCAATACAATAGTATATTAGTATTTTACTAACTACCTTAGAAAGAACCAGCAAAAATTTTGCGTTCAGTACCTACAGTTAGAAATGAGCTACTGCTAGAGGTGGGACCGCGCAGTGCAGTTTTTATAATTCTGGCCAGCTGGCATAATTCTGGTCAGCTTTATAATCCAGGTTTGAATTAGATCTTATCACCTGATTAATAGAATCCATCGCATAATTCTGGTCAACTTACAGATCATTTGATCACATTTAAAGTTGTTTTGTTCTAGATCTGGCCAAATGATCTGCAAATTTGACTAGATTATTAACGATGAGTTCCTCTATTTAGCAAATTCACCGATATGCAGAGAAAAAGTGAAATAACGCAAAAAATGACGTTTAAACTAAGCTTGAAGCACTAATTAACAATGATGGGAGCCCAACTTTACAAATATGAAATAGATGTTTTATATGTATAAACGCGAAACCAATGAATAAATGTCTCTATGAACTGAGGCTATGCAGGCTGCGCAGTAGATTCAAAAAAACCTCGATTTTCCCATCCCTAGCCACTGAATTATGCAACCCGACAAGAATTATACTAGCTAGCCACAATTATGCCAACTAACCTGGATTCTAAAAGTCTCACTGGGCAGTCTTTCAAAAATTTTGCCACGTACAGTACATAGTGTACTGTATATATAACACATCACTACATATGCCCAATAATGCAACAACCTATATACTGTATTTACTACATGCAATACCAATACTCTTTACGTCTTCCGTTCCTGGTTTTGTGTGACAACGTTGCGCAGCTATCTTATTTATTATTTGCAGTAGTTGGAAGATTTTAAAAATATTGATTTTATATTAATTTATATGCTGTTGATCTTTTGATGTTTATGTATTATTGAATACGTAGTCGTACAGATACTGCATATGCATAAATAGCACTTTATATTCGATAGTAAATGCTTGTACTCGCGTACATAATCGGTTTACTAATCGTCTAAACGAAAGACCTGAAAGAATTTTAACGCAATGGAAAATTCAGAATTAACAACTCCATTTAATGACATTGTTTTACCAACTGCATGGGATATTGAAAATAATTCACCATTTATTAACATAGATTTAGGTGGATTGAAAATTAATTATACTGGTAAGATAAAAATGAAAAAAGAGAAATCTCACAGCAACATATTAAATTAATATCTCGATTAATAATTCTTAATCATTTGTATAACTAAAGAAGATTATATAACTATTCATTTTTAATTAACTTTTTTAAAGATCCAGATGAAAATAAAGCTGTTATAATTCGAGCAAATCATCCAATTCCTTCACAGTGTGGGATATTTTATTTTGAGATTAAAATTATAAATAAAGGAAAAAATGGGTATGTTAATTATTTCCTGTCATAAACACACCCGTATTTTTTTTATAGTTTTTTATTTTATTTCTTGATAGAATGATTGGAGTCGGGTATTGTACAAAGCAAATCGATAGAGGCCTAAGCTATTCAAATATAAATACAGATTATATAAATGACATGCTTATGCTTGGTAATAGAAGCTTTTTTATATCATTTTTTTATTATTATAGATTAACACAATACCATAATATTCCTTAGGACAAGCACCTGAGAAAAATGAGATGTGGGAGTGTGGCTACCATGGAGATGATGGATATTCTTTTTGTTCTGGAAACAGTGAACCGTATGGTCCAACATATACTACTGGTGACATTATTGGATGCTATTTAAATTTCATAAAAAAGATGATATTTTATACTAAAAATGGAATTAACTTGGGTAATTTAACACTTAGGAAATTTTATATTTTCGAAGCAGATTTGGTATAAATTTAGCATATATAATATATTGAAGGAATTGCGTGCAATATGCCTGATAATTCTGACAAATGGAAAGGAATTCTATATCCTTGTGTCGGATTTAGATCACAAGGCGGGTCTGTAGAAGTAAATTTCGGCCATGAAACATTCAAATATTCTGGTAAACTTGCCAAAGAATTCAATCGTTTTTACTTATTTAAAATTTAACCTGGTCTATATGTCCATTTCAATTTACAGCAATGTCTAATGAAGACGTTAGTAGAAAATCAAATAATGCATTAGCATTAGAATATCAAGAAAAGATTTATTACATTATGGGTGGATACGAAAACGTGTTGGTTAATTTAATAGGCGAATTAACAAAATCGTTAGAAAAAAAGCAAGAGAATGTATTTGAGTTAAACTATAGAGGAAAAATATATTTTATTATGGGTGAATTTGATAAAGCATTGGAAGATTAACTAGGTCGCTAGAAATTGAACCAGATAACATAACAGCACTAAGATAACGAGGAGAAATTAATTATATAATGAAAAACTATGACGAATCAATTACTGACTTTGGCAAATTATTAAAAATTAAACCAAAAGATGCATGGGCAACAGAAGCTTATAAATCAGTTGAAAAGTTGTATGTATGATATGTATTTGTAAATTTTGTTCCCTTAAACAGTTAAAGCTAGATCAATAATACAAACTAACATTAACTACATCCTGTGTGTCACCGCAATAGTCGGTAAGTTTTTTAATTGAATTTGTTATAGTAAATCACGATATACATCAACGATAATGCCGATACAACTAACATTAATTACATACTGTGTGTCACTATAGCGAGTAAGTTTTTAATTGAATTTTTTACAGTACATCAACAATAATGCCAATACAAACTAACATTACCTACATACTGTGTGTTACTGCAATAGTCAGTAAGTTTTTAATTGGATTTTTTACAGTAAATGGGGTTGAGTCAATAGAAATCAAGCAAATTTTTTCTAAGTAAATTTTTTTGAAACTTTAAACAAAGATAACTAAAACTTTATCAAATTTTAAAAAACTTTTTAAAAATAAATGATACAAATTTGTAGAATTAATATAAAAAAATATTATTAAATTTGATTAAGTTTTTATTGAATTATTGTTGTTTAAAGTTTAAATAAAAACAATTTTCTTGATTTCTATTGACTCACCCCAAACAATGTCAATACAAACTAGCATTAACTACATACTGTGTGTCACCGTAATGCGTAGTCTGTAAGTTTTTTTTTAAATTGAATTTTTTACAGATATACATCAATGATAATGCCAATACAAACTAACATTAGCTACATACTGCGTGTCACTATAGCGAGTAAGTTTTTTAATTGAATTTTTTACAGTATACATCAACGATAATGCCAATACAACTAAAATTAACTACATACTATGTGCCACTATAGCGAGTAAGTTTTTTGATTGAATTTTTTACAATGAATCACGATATACATCAACGATAATGCCAATACAAACTAATATACTGTGTTACCGCAATAGTCAGTAAGTTTTTCAATTGAATTTTTTACAGTAAATAATGCCAATACAAACTAGCATTAACTACATACTTTGTGTCACTGTAATACGTAGTCTGTAAGTTTTTTTTAATTGAATTTTTTACAGTTAAGTATGATATACATCAACGATAATGCCAATACAAACTAACATTAACTACATACTGCGTGTCACTATAGATAGTAAGTTTTTTAATTGAATTTTTTTCCAGTAAATTACGATATACATCAACAATAATGCCAATACAAACTAACATTATCTACATACTGCATGTCACTATAGCTCGTAAGTTTTTTAATTGAATTTTTATAGTAAATTACGATATACATCAACAATAATGCCAATACAAACTAACATTATATACATACTGCGTGTCACTATAGCGAGTAAGTTTTCTAATTGATTTTTTTCCAGTAAATTACTATATACATCAATGATAATGCCAATACAAACTAACATTAACTACATACTGTGTGCCACCGCAATAGTCTGTAAGTTTTTTTTAATTGAATTTATAATGCAAATACAAATTAACATTAACTACATACTGTGTGTTACTATAGCTCGTAAGTTTTTTAATTTAATTTTTTACGGTAAATTACGATATACATCAACGATAATGCCAATACTATAGTTGTTATCCGAAACCCGAAACTATATATAAATCCCGAAACCGAAACCCGAAACCCTTTCCGAAACTCTAACACTACTGAAAGGCTTAGAAATTTAATTTTAAACGTTAAGACTTAAAGTATATTATAATTAAATTGCATTTCAGGA